TCCTTCATGCCAAGGTTTGTCCAGCCCTGGCTGCCCAGAGCCGTGGTGGAGTCACCATTCCTGGAGGGAATTAAAAAGCCATGGAGATGTGGCACGTGGAGATGTGGGTTAGCGGTGGCCTTGGCATTGCTGGGGAACAGTTGGGCTCAATGATCCTGGAGAGCTTTTCTCACCTAAATAATTCCATGATACTATGATTCTTTGGATGAACCGGGTGGGAACTCAGTTGCTGCCCTGGTGGGCTCTCCCTAGTGTGGGAAAGTGCAGTTCTGCCACACGCCAACACCCCACCCAGGATGGTGGATCCACAGGTCCCCTTCAGAGCCCAGCTTGCTACCTGCACTCCCTCTGCTTTTTACTTCTCATGCATGTCCGGAGTCAAAGCTAGTTTCTATCAAACTACCCAGAACAACCTAAATAATTTTGGGAATTGCTGGCCTCTGCGTGACTGGCTTTTCACGTTAAACAGCTCTACTGGTGATGGCAGACAGGAGATGGATTTTTACCTGTAGCAATAGGAATTAGCTGCATTATTTTCCATCCTCTAAGGACTTGCTAGGCCAGCCACAACAAGCACTTTGTTTTCAAAGGTTTGTCCCAGACACGGAAATAGAAACACTCCAGACTTTGCCTTTGTTCCCTTCAAATGGTTGTTTGCTCAGAGATTTTGTTCTGAATCAGGGAAGATATTTGAACTAATAATGGTGCTTCTGGCTGATACTCAGATACATGTATTTTTTATATATAAAATATGCAACCGGACTTGTCTATCTCGCATTGGCCTTTTTAGCCATCAGGTGCTTGTAGCAAGCGTGGGTAGAGCCCTTCTCAAATCTTCGTTCGCGAAGCCTAGCCATGATGATGATGATGATGATGATGATGATATAAAATACATACATAAAAGTGTGTATATATATATATATATATAAAATTGTATACACATATATAAAATACATGCACAAAGTATGTATTCCAGACACAGGAAACAGGAGTTCTGTGGGGAGCAGAGCTGGGTGCCCCCGTGGCATCCACTGGAGCAGCCCCCATGGAGCTCTGTGGCTCTTGGTGCCCAGTGGGCAGGGGTTGGACCATGTCCACCGGTGTCAAGTGATCCCACTGGTGCCAGGTCAGAGCCCAGCAGTCTCATGCTGGTCCATTTTGTGTTGTCCTGGGCCCTGTGCTTGATGTTCAGCTGTGGTGCTGGCAGCAGCTGCACGGTCCCAGCACTGGGCTGGTGCTGGATCTTGGCTCTTACTGGGAGGACTGGAAGCACCTGTGTAGGTTGCTGGAGAAGCAAATGAGTTCTTTGACTGGGTCTCAATGAAAATGAGTCTGAGCCATTGAGCAGGCTGAAAAGGCCAAATTCATTAATCTCAGTAAGAGGAGTGAGGGCCCGTGCTGTGCTGCCCGCCCATGGCACCCGCTGCTATTCTCCTCCCCTACACGGTGCCGACCACGAGCCAGCGCAGCCAGGGAATATTTACTGTTCCTGTGCTTTCCCTGTGCTGATCCTTGGCTACCAGTTACCCTGTATTAAATTGCGGTTGGTCATGGCGGTGATTATACGGTATCCAGGCAACCTGGGCATAATCTAATTTACCACACAACATGGATTTACTCCGCTCCCATTCTCCTTTGTTTCGCTGAAAGTGAGTGTAAAATGAGCGGCGTCCACAGATGCCCCGGGAAATGACCTGCAGGGATGGAGCTCCCACGGGAGCACCGGGCTCCCGGCCCAGGGTGTCCCGGGCTCGGTCTCAGCACCACTGGCTGGGTGCTGGCAGCATCCAGCATGGCTCCTGGGTCAGCACCAAGTGGGTCAGGTCTTCGTGGAGCTGCTCATTGGGGAGGCACTGCTGAGTGCAGATATTCCCCTGGCCAAGGACTGTCCCGTGCTGCCAGGCTGATCTCCCACTGATCCTGGAGGGAGGCATGTGGGAACCATCCTGTGTTGAGAGGAGGAGGCACAGCCCAGAGTCCAAAAGCCAGTGGTAGCTCAGCCCGTTGTGGGCCCCAAGGAGGAGTGAAGAGGTTCTGCACATTCCTCCATTAGTTGTTGCTTCTTCCCTATGCTGGATGTGACTCCTCCAAAGTGGGTATGGAGAGGGAGTGGAAAAAGGGCCCATCAAAGTTAATGTTAGTGCAGTTCTTTCAAAGTGCACTGAGGGCAGGGAAGAAACAGCAGGTTAAAAGGAAAATACAGTGAATGCTTGGAAACCTTCTAAAGGGCAGCTGAGGAACGGCACTGCTGGTCCCTGCTGAACAGCCCCAGCATTAAGCTCACTTTGGGCTGAGAACACCCCATCTTTAGAAACTGTGGCATTACTTCCTAGTACAAAAGATGATGAAGAGTTATAATTTAGAGTAAATCATCCTGTGGGTAATGGATGTGGAATTTGAAGGATGTGAAAGGTGGATCATGTTTTGGAGCGTAGCTGTGGTGACCCAGTGTGGGGAAGGCTATTGCTGGAGAAGCACCCGGGATGCAGATCAGGAGTTCATGTGCCACTAGGGTTTATTCCAGAAAGGAGCCAGATTGCACAGCTGCAGAATGGCTCCCACACTTTCAGAGGCAAAATAAAACACAGTGGAGTTTGGTGATGGAGGCAAGGGCCACCCATGTGGATGTGTGGACGTTCCTTGGGCAGGCTGGTGCTGCAGGACCATGTCCTGCCTGGGAAGCCATTAATAGCTCAGTCTGAAATAATTACCCAGGCCACGCACAGCTGCCTCGCCGTAATGAGCCGGTGACAGTGCAATTTATTAGAGTGATGTAGGACATGGTAACGGTAATGAGAAATGGAGGGACCTAATTTTGTATGACTTAGATCAATTTGGTTGTTTTTTTTATAAATGAACATTGTTTTACTAACCACAGAAGATCACTAAAATTATTATTTTATTAGTACTTTTCAAAGCCATTTGAATTGCGTTTTCCAAATCCGGTTAGGAGCACGTGAATGTGTGTTTGAAATGTAGATGTTGCAATGCGAAAATGTCTTGGTGAGGAGATGGGTGGGAGTGAGGGGAAGGTTTGAATCCTCACAGAAGTATTATGTAGTGTATAATGGTTCTTACTGGACTTCTGAGTTTCTCACTGATGCATGGGGTTGTGACTCCCCAAGGCAAGTTTGCTCCCCCTTTCCAGGGCTCTGTGAGTCACGGTGGGTGGTGCCAGCATTACCGTGCACAGGTTGGCTGTGGCGGGAACGGGGATGGTGAGAGGCACTGTGCCCATCTGGGCATGGCAATGTCCAGCCTGGATGGGGTGAGAGCAGCCCTGTGGGCAGCACATCACCTCAGCACTGGCAAGGTTGTCATCTCTGTGCCAGAGCCCGTCTCCAGGGCAGCCCATCTCCCACAGCTTTTACTGACACTGGAGATTTCCCACACACCTGCAATAAAATATTCAGAGCTTCCTGACAGTGGGGGGAGTTACGGGTAAGAGGGAGGTTCCACCAGCTCCCAAGGGGCTTTGGCCAGGACCTCCCACCTTTGAGCACAGACTCGGTGGAGGTGACAGCTCTGGCTGTTCTCCAGGGATGTAGCATGCACTGGAGTGAGGCTTTTTGCCTGGGCAGTAAGCAGGGCTGATGCTGCTGTTTCGAGAAGCTAGACCAGCAGCCCTGAGCCCTCCTCTGTGCTGAGGTCCCCATCTGCTGCCTGAGGAGCTGTATATAGAGATGAGGAATGAGTTCTTTGCTGGTTCAAGTGAGATTTGGTTGGAAAAGGATGAAAAGCATCTTTCCTTTTAAGCCCAGCCTGTGCTTACAGTGTACTGAAATACATTGAGCATGCACACAAATATCCTGGCCCCAAGATCAATAGTAAAGGCTCATGGCAATGAATTTTTGGGGCAGCCCAGTCTGTGCTCCTCCCCTACATTTGTCCGTGGAAACAGGAGAGAAAGAGTGAAGGGAAAAGACACTATAACCCCCTCCGGCTGAAACTGTGTGAGCACACAGCCTGAAGCCGCCGCATTTCCTGGTTGAAGAGGTCAGGAGAAACCACAAGAAAGACTCGGGGAGATGGGGCTGCAGGGCTGTGCTGCAGGTCCCGGCTGCGCCGCCCTCACGTGTCCCCGTGTGACTCAGCAGAGTCCACGGTACCCGGACAGTTCTGTCCATGCCTCAACCAGGCTTTTACCACGGGGCAGCCGAGCACCTGGTCTCTGCATCCATGGTCTGACATGGATGGGGGCTGCTGGGCTGCGTCCTGCATGCATTGTGTCCTCAGTGCACAGTGGCATGTCCTCGGGGTGAGACAGAGCAGAGGATGTGCCCCATTAGGGCTGGTGGGGATTTGCACCACTAAGACCAGGGCCACATCCTCAGTGTGAACTGCTTCACTTTTCTGAATTGGTCTGTGCCCTCCTGTGAACAAAAAAGAGATGGAGGTGGCAGGGAGGAAGCTCGAGTGCTGGTGGGTCCCTGGGTGAGCAGGTTCTCATCTCAGGTGGCTTCCTCAGCAGGATGGAGAAGGGCAGATGTGGGGCATGGGGATCTGGGGTTAAAGACCCACTGTAACCTCCCAGCCAGTCTGGATGGCCTGGATGGGGCTGACCTCTGGTGCAGCCCAGAGCTGGAATGGCTGAGAAGGAATTGGCCTTTGGAACATATGAGGTCACTCATTGAGTTGGAGAGCAGCGTGTGTCAGAGGTCCAACAATTTGTTTTCAGAAGGGTTTTAAGCATTAATGATTCAAGATGTTTTCCTGGGAGTGGTTTGCAGCATGAGGCTCAGTGGCCGGTGCGGGCTTGGGGTTTTGTGGGATTAGTCAATTCATGGAGGCTGAAAGGTCTCCAGGAACACAACAGTTAAATTTGTACTTTTCCACATGGCTGAGCCTTCAAGGAGCTCACCAGGAGCGTAAAAAATGTAAACAGCATTGTAAGCCTTGTGCCAGCCACAAGTCGGGGAGAGCAGAGAGGGGTTTCCCTGCAGATTAATTCCATCACCTACTTCATTTTCTTTCTCTTTTTTTTTTTTTTTCTCTCCCAGAGTTGCAGATAATCACAAGCAGAACCTGATGACTGTTGCTAATCTGGGTGTGGTGTTTGGGCCGACGCTGCTTCGACCTCAAGAGGAAACAGTCGCTGCCATTATGGACATCAAATTCCAGAACATCGTGATTGAGATTTTAATAGAAAACCACGAGAAGGTAATGGCTTCCCTGGCTTCTTTCAGTGTCATCAATTTATGGGAAGGAATTGACCTCTCTTTCCCAGTGGGAGCTCCCTCTCCCAGGGCCCCCCACATTCCCTGTAACCAGCAGCGCTGCCAGCTTTGCTGCAGGTGGGGGGGCTGTGCCAGGGAAGGTCCAGCTGGCAGCTGCCTGGCACTGTCACTAGTGAGGGACACAGCTCAGGGGAGGGCACAGAGGTCCCAAAATTGCCTGTTCCTGGGCTGTAGTTGTGTAAACAGGCTGTTTCTGGCATCCCAGTATGAGTCAGCATGTCTGTGTCTACATCACAGAAATACTCTTTCTCCCCCTTTCCACTGTTCAATAGGTATTTGTCCTTGGTTTCAAGAGAGATGAGCACTAAAGGAAGCCAGTGCAAGATGGCTTACTTGGCTGGCTCCTGCTTTGCTAAGTAAATCTGGGTTTATCAAGTACTGGCTTTATCCACAACACTGATCTCCTGAATCCTGATGCATTTGTGTTTGTTGGCCATGAGGATGTTGTTTGTCGGTGAAGCAGTGTTGGCTTGGTGGGGCCATGGTGCTGGATGTCCCTCCCAGTTGGCTGCATGGGGTGGCTGCATGTGCTGAAATACACCATTTTCTTCTAAATTCATCCAGTTCCATGATTATGCCCTTTTGTTAGTCTGGTTTTGGTTGGAAAGTAGTATTTAATTTGTGCATTTGGGCTGGAAAGGTAGACGTAGCGATCAGCTTGCCCTGACCAGGGTGGTGGTGCAATGGGGCCTCAAACATGCAGCCAGTGGGGTCAGGAAGACAGGATCTGTGATTCTTGGAGATATTGCTACTGTGGGCACAGAAAGGCTGTGGTATTGATTTGGGATGGAGGAGCTCAGGCATGTTCTCCTCAGGAAGGTCCCTGTGCATCAAAGTGTTGCAGCCCTTGCATTTGGCTTTACATTACAGCTACCATTGGGAACTGCTGCCCTTTGGGCCATCTCCCATGGGTCTGACACCAGATCCTCTGGAAATGTGGAGTAACCTTGGGATGGGAGTAGGATCCGGGCCTGGGGAGTAAGGAAGGGATGATGGCTCTGTTTGCCTGTCAGGTGTTGCAGTAGAGCAAACAGGAGCCTAAGGAAGCTGAGCAGGAGCCACATGCCCTGCTCTGCTGCTCAGCACTTCCTAACGAACCCCAGCATCACTTTGCTGAACAGGATTTATCCATGAGTGATTCTCAGCCTTTCCTCCATGTGTTTGTGACTACGATACATTAATGTATTATAAAAGATACCTAATTCTCTGTAATGCCTCCTGTGCTGCCCACACCTCTCTCTGCTTCCACAAGAGCATCTGGAGAGCCTTTGTTGAGGGTGCAGTGCAGGTCATGAGATATTTGGGCTGACTGGGGGCTTTAACAGAAATACAAAGTTATGGTAAGATCTCAGTGCTGAAGGTTTTAGCAAAATAGTTTCATAATGATGTTCCAGCTGCATTTGAAATGAGGCTGCTTTTAGTCACTGAGTTCCTCATTGAAGAGCATTTATATCTTCTCTTATTATAAAAGACCAAAAAAAAAAAACCCAACCTGAAACAGAAATCTGGAAGTTTATTTTCAAGTGTGCTGTGGGAATTGTTGTATAAAATGCAATTCATAAATCAATACTTTTATCTTGCTTGGTTTATATATTTCATTATATTTCCCAAGTTGAATTTATTACTGAAAAGCAATTTGAAAGCAAGAGCACATTAAAGCAGGCAGTGGCCGTGCTGGGTGTGGGGAGTGGAGCCCAGGGCACGCAGGGTGCCCTGGGACCAATTTCAACCCCTGTGCTGAGGCTCCTGCCCCCCAGGAGCTGTATTTAGCCTGCTGAGCACAGGGCTCATGGTGGGTCCCAGAGCCAAGGAAGGCACCTGAAGCATGTGCAGCTGTGTCGGGTTTAACGTGGTAAGCAATGAGCCATGAATAGCCCGGCTAACTGGGACTGTGGGATGTGCTGGGCAGGGCTGGTGGGGTGCTAGTGAGCTGCTGGGTGCTGAGGAGGACAGATGGGGGTGCAGAGAACGTGGTGCATCAGCCGTGCAAGAGGCTGGGGAGACACCATCCCCCAGACTCCAACGGGGAGACTGGGAACCAGCCATTGCGGAGTGGGAATGGCTGTGGGCAGGCGTGTGGGAGACAACATTCGGTGCTTCTTGCAGAGAGCGTGAATGGGGCTGCCTCTCTCTCCACTAATCCCTGAACCCATGAGGAATGTGTGAATGAGCACAGCAGAGCTCCCCAGGAAGGGCTCAATGATCTCTCCGTCTGTCCCACCGTGCAGTCGGATCCAAGCGCTCACCGGGCCGGTGCTGGGCCCTGCTGCGCGCGCAGGAGCTGGACACAGGGACTCAGCTCCAGTTCCTGTGCCTCACCCCAGCTGTCAGCTCCAGGGCTGATCCTGAGCCCAGACAGAGTCCCTATGGACAGAGAGGCTGGGGAACAATGTCCTCAGAAAGGCCAGAGAGGGATGTCCTTGGCCATGTGGTGCTCGATCTGCTGGGAGTGGATCATCAACTCCTCTCAAGGGCCAAGTGCTGCCCTTCCCGCTGCCCCTGCGCGCTTCTGGGAGGGACAGGACATTGACATTTTTGGCTGAGGCATCCTGGCACTTTATCAGGGCTTTGTAGGAATCATCGTGGAGGGCTGGTGTGTGTGTGAAGATGATGTTGTTGTTTCATGAAACAAACCCATTATCTGCTGGCAGCGGCTCTGCTCGCTGGTGGCATGTAATGGCCACTGGAGAGGGCTGATGGTGACCTTGGCCATGGCTGTTGGTGGCCACTGTGATGGCTGCCAGTGACTGTGGCAATGGCCATGTGCTCCAGAGGAACCACCCCATGCTGCGGCGGGCAGTGAGCTTTGCCAAAAAGCAATTTTCCCATTGGGAACCCCGTCCATGCTGGTCGACTGTCTGGCAGGGGCAGGTAGAGGGGGAAAGACACTGAGGGATGGGGTTTAATGGGCTCTAGCAATGAAGGGAGACCTTGAGAGAGCTGATCTGGAGGCTGCTGTTGTCTGAGCCTGGGGATCCAGAAAAGGAACAACAAATAACCAAATATCAACAGCCAACAAAACTGCTTCTCTTTGGGTTCATGCAGTTTTAAAATTCCATCCCCTTGAGAAAAATGTGATTACTCAGTTTTCTGACAGCTGTGGCTGGAAGTTGCAGAGACTTTCCCAAGCTGGCCTGCAGGCGTGGGAGTGCGGGCGCCAAGGCTGCGCCACAGGGGGCATGGGGGGAGTGATGGCTGGTCTGTCCATGGGATGGGACACTCGCCATCGTCTGCAGCCCCAAAAATTCAGCAGAGTGCCAGAGTGTCAGGGTTCTTCCCATTCTGCAGTGTGCATCTTGGGTGCAAAATAGAGGAGTGCAGACAGAGTGGAAATGTGGAATTTAGGAAATTCTACCCAAAATGTTGCCCCATTGAACACATGTCTTCTGCAGAGGCTGCACTGCGGAGCGGTTCTAGAGCGGTGCAGCCCAGGCAGGTGGGCAGCTGTCCTGTTGGAAGGATGATGCCAGAGAACAACTTGTTTATTATTTTTAACAGATATTTAACACCGCGCCAGAGACTCCGGCATCAAACTCACAGCTGCTGTTATCCCGCAAGAAGAGCACGGACTCGAAGCCTCCCTCCTGCAGCGAGCGGCCGCTGACGCTCTTCCACACGCCCCAGCCCAACGAGAAGCGTAAGTGCCCAGCCGCCCTCCCAGCCCTCCATATTTGTCCTAATCATGCCTAACAGATTGTCATTCCCGTGCCATTCCCATGCAGTTCTACTGCTGCCAGTGGAAGAGATGATTCCATAACGGGGTCAGGCTTCGGTTTCCTCTGCTGTTGCATTGGTGGGGAGTGTGAAGCTCTCCTGGCATCTGAGCCCTTAACCAGGGCTCGACACGAGGCTGCCGTAGCACGGGATAAAGTGTTGCTGTCCCTTCCCCACCTGACGGGCCCCTGTCTGTTCCCCTTCTCATGTTCCTCGCCCCCATCATCGCCATCATCAGCTGCCAGGACGCGGGTGCCACACCTGTGCCGAGGGTGGCCACCCGCCGACATCCCCACGGGGCAACCCTTTCGGGATGCCCTCAGGCACTTTGCCTTTTACAGACAGGAAAACTTGGCCAGGAGGTTTGGCATTTTCCTGAGGATTATGTACCACGGCAGTTTAAAAATATTGGAGCTCATCTTTCCATTTATGTCACTAATTGATGCTCCAGATATCTGGGTGAAAGAGCCAAGGCCCCATCCCTGCTCATGGGGTGGCAGAAATGTGTCTGCTCAGGCTGTGGCTTCACATTACAGCATAAACCCAATTCCCAGCTCTCTAGTTCATCCAGACCATGTGCTCCTGGAACCAACTGGGAGCTCCCCCAGTTTGATCAAAAAGCAAGGGCGTCCTGGTGAGCAGGACAGGCACACATGGAGCAAGGAGCAGGGGAGGGCTGGAGGTAGCCAGCGTGGACAGAGTGGTCGCTGTGGACTTGCTGACTCTCAAAACATGTGGGTTTGTCTGATTGAGTTACTGTTAATTACCAGGCACTGTCATTTTCGGAGGGTGCCGGAACGATCCGTGTGAGTTTGAGGAAGCAGTGGTGGCACCAGAGCGTGCTCTGGGAATGGTGTAGCACAACTGTCGGAGGAGCCTCAAATATCAGAAGTTCCTTTTGAAAAATTCAGCCCCAGTAATTTATTTTCTGCTAACTAAGCAGTTGCTTCTCACACTCCAGGGTCAATGGGCTGCTGGAGCCTCTGTGTGCCATCCTCCCCATGCCTAGAAGAGGAACTGAGCTCATGTATTTATTTCTGCATTTATTTATTCCCAGATGAAGCAATGTTTTCTCAGTTTTCCTCCTGTGTCTTTGGGAAGCCACTACCATTTTATTCAGTGTGTGCTATCTCGGCTGCACATGTCACTTGAGGAATAATGTGAGGCTTCTTTTGTCTTCATTTCTTCTTCCTTTCTTACTCCTTTCTTCTTTCATTTCTTTTCTTTCTAACTGCTCCAGAGATGGGCCAAGGCTCAAAATCAGGTTGAAGCACGAGGGCTTGGGCAGCAGCTCAAGCACAGTTGAGCACCACAGAAATTGAAAGCTGAAAATTGAAGCTAAAACCATTCAAAAGGGGAACAAGATGCATATTTTTTTAAGACTGAGAATGATTTTACCATAAGAAGTGAAGTGGGACAGTGAATTTTCCATTACTAGAAATCTGTTTATTGAAGTCCAATATCTTTATAAAATTTTCACTAGAATTCATCATACAAAGCTGTGTGTAAGTCAAAATTTATCATGTTCAGAAGACAAGGTCATGCAAGGGAGTGGATTAGATCATTATGATTAATCTATGATTATAGTGATTATTTTGTTGTTAAACATTTCCATTTTTGCTCACAACTGACCCAGGGGGGTCTCAGAGAAAAGTTGCAGGTTTGATTTATTGATAGGATCTCTTGCTCTTCTTCTTTGCAAAGTGGCTCTTCTCCCTTCTGCACTCTGCAAGTGCTCTTTAGCTGAAAGGCAGTTCTGCTCTTGTAGCTGTAAGACCAAATTAAATCTCCCAGTGAAGAATCCTCCACATAAGCATTTAAAAACATGAAGCAAAACACAGTTTCAGCCTTTTAAAAAGGAGGAAATAAAATAAAGCAGGAGTTTCAGATTCTGCCATTCATCTCCCTTCCCCTTTACTGAAACACTTCCAGTTCCGTGGCTGACGGGGACTCTAATTCGATATTGGCTGGTAGCTGGTGTGGAGATTAGGCAGACAATCCACACTGATCTGTCAGGCTTATGGAGCTTATTCCTGCACTTCAGTCTTGGGTAGAAAATGTTTGGAAATAATAATCTGTAGTGTTAGTCCCCACTCAGGGTCTCAGGTTGGCCCTGGGTCCAGCCGGGCTCAGCACGAGCAATCCCTGGGCTTGGTCATGTGTGTTTAGGTGGTCTGTCACAGGCTGCCCAAAACCTGCTCTGGCAGACACAAAAATAGAGGGATTTGGGGTTTTTAGGTCCTTAGGCAGCTTATTTCTCTCTCATTTCGTCTGCTGGCTCCTATGTCTGCATGTCGATGTTTGTGTTGCTCCACACTTGGCTTTTCTTTACTTTTCTGTCTTTGTCTTCTGCACAGATAATCTTTCTCATCACAAGGTGCTGGTGCCTGCTGAACCCAGAGGTTTCAACTTTCACAGAGCTGGGGACAGAGAGGTGTCTGTGCTGCTTGTCCCCATGGTGACTCATTGCAGATCAAGATTAATGAAACCCAATTTCAGGAACGTGTTGACATGTATCAACAAAATTAACACATCCTGGGCTTTGGCTCATCTCTGGCAGATAAGCTCAACCTCAGATAAACCAAGGTTTAGCCCTGTCCTGCTGCAGTGTAGCTGCTGATTTTGTCCAGGTATCTGGGAATTCTGGGAATTGCAGCAGCTCCAGCAAAGGAGCAGGACAAAGAGTGTCAGACCCTGCTCTGGACATTCACAAACCTGTGGCTGATATGGTTTTTCCCTTTGGAGCAGTGGCAGAGCTGCCTCAAACTCTGAGACAACACTCCTGCCAGGCTGTTTTACAGGCAGTTCCTTTCTGCTGTGTGCTCAGGATTAACTTTTCACAAATCCTAGGAGTTCCTCTTGTACTCATTTATCACTCTTTAAACGTGCACAGGATATGGATGAATATTGCATGTTCTCCTTGCACAGACAGAGGTGGCAATTAAGGGGGATTGAGAACAAGGATTTCCATATTTCTATGTGCTTTATGGTTGTAGTTGGACCATATTGTTGTGCGCTGGAAAAATAATTTTGGAAAGATGTATCCTTGAAGTAGGGCTCTCTGTCTTTTCCAGCAGTTGCCTGTCTTTCAGGAAAGCATCATTCCAGAAGCAGCAGTTCTCTGCCTGGGGCTGCTGTCGTGCCATCAGTGTTGCTAATTGCTTCTCACAATTACAATTACTGCTCATATGGAAAAAGCTTCTCCTGGAAATGAGTTAATGGGATTTTAGGGGATCTGGGGCAGAGATGAGGAGGGGCCCATGCTGTGGTGTCGGCTTGAGATGCACAATATTGTCAGTGCTCACTGCTGAAGTTACACAAATAATGAGGAAATCTCTTAATGTGATTGAGAGAAACAGGAATCTCTGAGAAGCTCTGGACTGTCAGCAGAGCAATCCCCCCAGCGCTGGGGGATGCCCAGCACATCCCATTCCCTTTCAGATACAAAGCTGGCTTTTGTCCCACCATGGCTCTGCATTTTGGAAGAGCTGGGCTGAAATGGAGCAGAGACCCCATTACCTTTCCCCTTTAGACCTGGACAGGAAAGAGCAACAGTAGTGACATCAAGTATGAGACTGAAGCATTTTTTGCTGAGATAAACTTAGGTCCTTAGACAGCTTAGGGTGATCTGTCCTGTTCTTGATCTAAAGTGTTGTCCTGCTCTCTTGTCCAAACACTCCATCCCTTGGGAGCTGATTTTAGTCACACAGATCCATTCCTGTGCATAGTTGACATTTTAATTTCTTTCAGGTTGGGGCATTTTGGACGTCTTTGGGAATATAAAATATTAATGCTTTGAGAAAAGTGCGTATTTTCTTACTAAAAACGGTGCTTTAAATGTACCTTAAAACTGAAAGAACCAAAGAGTTCCTGGAATTTCTTGTGGTTTAATGTATAATATCTCTGTAACTAGCTGTGAGCTCTGGGGAGATGCTCCCAGTTTTCCCTGGGATGGGGTTTGGTGGGAACACTCGATGACTTTGCAGCCATTTGCTCTTTACTTTGCCTTCAGTGGCAGCTGATGATTCTTGGGTTTTGGTGTTTTTTAGAGGAGAACAGGAACAGTATCATCAACTCCAGCCTGGAATCCGTCATCTCTTCAAATGTAAACAGCTTCCTCAACTCCAACAGCGCTCCCCAGCCCAGCCTGAACTCGAGTGATCTTGAACTAGAAGTAATTAAGCCCAACAGGCCAAATTCCCTGTAAGTACAGTGGTAATTAGTGTTTTATAGACTCTCCATCCTTAATCTTTAATCAGGGTTGTTTCTTACTCTGAATCCCAGCAGTTTGCTGAAGAATACAATTTAACATTTTAATTTTTAATGGGCACCAAGCATGTGCCCTGCATTTTTAACTTGGTCTAAATGGTGGAATTAGTTACTGTGAGTTACATCTGCCAGTGAGTTCCAGCTCTGGGGGTTTTGCCCGTGTGGAATATTTTTGAGCAGAACTCCCCAGTGCTGCTCAGCCCATCTGGTGATAACTCCAACACACACAAAGGACTTTTCTTCTGAGTTCAATTCTCTGACTGTTGTCAGTACAGTTGATCTCCGGCCAAATCTGTGCTGTTGCTTCTGCTATTGCTTCCTTCATCTGGAAAGTTCAAGGGAAAAAACAGCGACCTTAGCAATGCCTCCCTGGGGATGGCCGAGTTATTTACGAAGTCCCTGAACTTGCCGCAGCGGAGCCCTCGCGCGATGGTGGCTCCGCTGGGGGAATTTCCTTCCTGCCGCGGCTTGGCCGGGCCCGATAGCATTTTCCCACAGAACCTCCCCTCCTTGTCATGTGAAGATCTGCTCAGATCTTCAGGAGCTGAACCCAGTTTCCCCCTGGTGCTCCTCGGCACGCCCCTGCACATCCCTGTGGATCGGCCGGCGGGAACGCTGCTCCCACCACGGCAGCTCGTGGCCTCGCTGCGTGCAGCGACCTTCTCAGTTCAGGGAGACCTTCCTTCCCACCCCTCCGGTCCTCCCACAGGCCTCAAACACTTCCAGTTCCTGTTCATCCCCAGCAGCCCCCGTCCCCTGAGAGCCGACAGGGACATTCCTGATTTAGCTGGATGCCGGTGGAGGGCTCGGCCAAGTGCCAGGGCAGGTGCTGCAGAGATGGTGAATCTCTTGGCTGTTGGCTTGGATGGCACCAGGGTTGGGTTTGGAGGTTCAGGGTCCAGCCCTCGCTCCAGCAGGTGGGATGGCTACAGGCCCTGCCCATCCGGGGTCTCCCAGCAGGAAGGTAAGTGTGGAGCAGCCAAGACAGGCTTCATCCAGCTTCATCATCTGCTCTGCCTCCCTCCTCATCATCGCTGCCACTAAACCCTGAGCTGCATGAGCACCACACCGGCCTCTCCTCAGCATTCCTGGGAGCAAGATTGTGTGAGGCCCAGCCCCATGCCATGCCTGCTCCCTGTGGACTTTCCCACTGTGGGAGAGCTGCCTGCCAGGGGCAGGATAGAGCATCCAAAGGTAGGACACTTCCAAATCAAGATTGTGCTTTACATATGTTATATGTGGAGTAAAGATGCATCTCTGTCTCATGTTTGCTTGAAGCTCTGGAGTCACTCACATCCCATTCCCCCAGTAGGATGGTTTCAGTTTATTTACCCTTTAAAGGGAAAAAATGGTGTGGCTTATCAGAGAGCAAGGTTTCTGAGCTCAGGTCTTGCTGGAACCTTACAAGGATTGTTTGCCAAATTCACAGTTTTTCAGATTCCAAGAGCTGCCTCTTCCTAATAGTTTCTTTCTTAACAGAAGTTATGAAGAAATTCAGCAGAATAAATCAGTTAAAGCTGTGTGAAACTTTGGGGAGCGGAAGCACCGTGCTGTTCCCAAGGGATTAGGTGAGCAGACTGGCACTGAACCAGGTGCTTGTGCCAGTTCAGGGGCCTCTAGTTCTGCAAAGTAAAACAGGGCCAAGCAGGGCAGCTCTGGCAGCTCATGGCTCTGACAGTGCTTGTGGCATTCAGTGCTTTTCCTCAAATCCAGTGATTATGGGATAATTTCTGCACATGCAGGAACACATGAGGTTTTTTTTGGTCCATGTTGAGCTAAAGTTTGAAAAGTAAGTGTTAAAGTGAATAGTACCACGAGGCAGATATCCACTATGACCCCAAATATTTAAATCAAATCCCTTTAATCCAATCTTCCAGTGAGGCATCTGACTTAATTTTATTGTGATTAAACTGTGTGTTCAGACGTCACTCACCCCTCTGTGCCTGCTTGCCCGGGAGCAAAGGCTGTGCCTGTGGTTTTGACAGCTCCGTGGGGTTCTGCCTTCCATGGGCAGTGCTTGTGGGGGGGTGGCTTTGCAGTGGTGAGGATGAGGAGAGTGAGCAGGGCTGCCAGCAGTGGGTCTGTCCCCACCCCTGCCCTGTGGCTGCGGGCTGGGTCGGGGCAGGGTGTCTGAATGGTGCCAGTGTCCAGTGGCTCCATCCCTGCTGCTCAGCGGGGCTGCCCAAATAATGTCTGTATAAAGCTGCTTCTGTTTTTCCAAGCAGCTGAGTAATCTGGGCTTTGCAGGAAGCCTCGGGCAGCCTCTCTGCCACAGGCTGTGGCATCTGGTGCTGCCGTGCGAGGGTTTCTGGTGCTCCCCTGGAATTACTGGGCCCACAATTAGGGTCTGTGGCCATGGTGAGGGTCTTGAGGTGCCTTGGCCTTTGAGCTCCTTCAAACACTCTGCCAAATTCTCTGCTGGTCCTGGGAGACTCATCTCTGGGCTCTGCTTCAGGACTTTGGGCTTTTTCTTGCACTCTTCAGTATTTTCTGTAATTTTTTAGCTGTGGACCATCGTGCTGAGGCCCCATTCAGGAGGGTTTGGCTCTCCTGGCAGCCCCCACGAGCTGACCGGCAACTGAGCTGGGAGCCTGCACTCACACAAACTGGGGAACAGGGAAGGAACATTTTGATGTTCTTACTTCTTACTAGGTTGAAAACTGATGTTCTTGTGGAAATAACTCCTGTGGGTCTCAGTGGGAGGCTCCTTGGAGCACAAGCGTTGAGACCTGCAGGTCTGGGGGATTTCTTATGCAGGGAGCACCGATGTGCCCAAGCTGGCCTTTAAATGTGCAACGCTGTAAATTGTGAGCACCATCTGTGAAATGAGAGATGTTTGTTTGAGCTTCTGTTTACAAAAGCCTCTTGGCTCCCTGCTAAATGCTCATGTATCCCCCAGGTCTGCTCCACCGGGAGCTGCGCCAGTTCCTAAATCCCCCTCATGAGCGTGTGTCGCTTCTTCCCTGGTCTCTGGGCGCGATGGTGTTACAGCAGTGACTGTGCTGGGATTAAATCCCCCAACCTCAGTGCTGGTACCCCTGTCCCCTTCCCCAGGGGAATGGGGTCCTTCTGACATGCCTTCCCTGGAGCACAGTCCTCTTTCACCAATCCAGAGGGAAATGGTTTTGCTGCAGGGCGCAGGCTCTCCCTTCCCAGCCACCAATCGGGCTTTTACGATGGGAATGCATTTATTTATTAGGGCTGGGTTTATTTTTATGGAAAAACTGCTCTGGGCAGGAGTTGTACCGGGTGAGTCAGCGGGACTGTCCTGTGCCAGGAGCTGTCATTGCGGCTGTGGGTGCCTGGAGACCGCGAGTGGTTCCTGGGGCCACCAAACCCCAGGGAGGCATTTGTGTCCAAGGCAGTGTTGGGTTTCTGTATCCCACTGGGTTTCTTTATCCCGTCAGATTTCTTTATCCTCCCTGCGCAGAAAATATCCTCCTTAGAGAACATGGCAAAACCTGAAGCAGAAAGCACCGTGCTTGTAGCACAGACACATACTTCAGCTGAAGTGGAGAAAGTTTTCAAACTAAATGGCAATTAAAATCGAAATATTTAAGACTGTGAGTTTTAAACCCTTTAAGAGAAGCACAGTGCCTTGGCAGCTCTGCCTGGGCAGCCTCTGGTGTGGAGGTATTGCTGTAGATAACCAACACCTTGGTTGGAGTTTACTTGTTTTTTCTCCTCTGTTTTATTTGTCCGTTGGTCTCGCTGTGTCACCTGTATCGTTCAAAGCCTTCCCTGTGTGCCGGCCCTGCTGTGCTGTGGGTCTGAGCAGCTGCTCAGCATGCTGAGGGCAGGTCAGAGGTGGGTGCTGCAAACAAGGGCAGCAGTAGCCAGGTCGTGTTACACGTACAGCCTCCTTAAAATCACCTTCTAGTGCTTAAAATAACCATAATGCCTCGGTCTGAATTAGCTGTTGGGCAGTGCTGGGTGCTCCTGGATGTCCTCCTGTCACGCTGTCTGCAAACTGAGCAACCTGTGTGTGCAGCCTGGGGAGTAAACAGCAGCCAAAACAGGCTGGAGAGGTCAGTGGAGTCACAGGAATTCAGTCTGCTCTCACAGTCATTTCTGGCTGTGCAGAGCTGGTGAAGGTGGGCTGGGGCCAGCTGAGGGTCAGCCAAGAACTCCATGTGCAAACGGTACCCACGGGCTGCTGCCTTGGCTTTTCGGATGGGAGGGAGTGCCAGAGGCACACAGGGAGGGCTGGGGTAGGTGGCAGAGCACTCAAGATTCCCAGCTGGCCCGTGAGATGCTTGCCTGGGTCCCAGGATACCCCATTTCAGCAGTAGCTGTGCACCCCTCTGTCATCTTGTCATGGGTGAGTGCCAGGATGAGCTGCTCCATCCACCCTTTCTTGCTGCTGCTCCACAGGAGTGGAGACAGGCTGCTGTTATTTTGTGCCCAGAAAATGGGACTGTAGCAACTTCCAGTGTCTGAAGGGGCTCCAAGGGAGCTGGAGAGGGACTTTGGACAGGGCATGGAGCGAGAGGACAAGGGGGAATCGCTTCATACTGCCAGAGAGCAGGGTTAGATGGGATATTGAGAAGAAATTCTTCTCCATGAGGGTGGTGAGGCCCTGTCACAGGTTGCCCAGAGAAGCTGTGGCTGCCCCATTCCCTAGAAGTGTTAAAGGACAGGTTGGACAGGGTGTGGAGCACCCTGATCTGGTGAAAGGTGTCCCTGCCCATGGCAGTGAGTAGTACTGGATGGTTCCAATGAAGGAGGTGCAACACCAGCCTAATGCCCCTGCCCATATTCAGTGTCTCTTGCTCTCTACAGCTCTCAAGGTCCATCAGCATTCCCATGGGCTCAGGGCACTGGTGGCATAGGGACCAGGCTGAGCCCCTCATGCTGCCAGCCTGCACTCCTTCCCCCCAGCCCCCAGGCTGTTTGCTGCCCCTCCTTCACCACAGGGACTTGGCATTTAGGGA